CAACCTTTAAGAACCTCGTGGCGTATTTAAGTGAATGGTAACAGTCGGCGTTGATTGGAACGCTGCTGCGAATGTGCAGATAGGTGATGGCAGCGTTCCAGACGGAGGGGGCTGGTTCCTTGGTGGAGTCTAATCGCACTCGGTCATGGCAGGGTGGGATACTTCTAACAAGTAACCAGTCGATGATTACGTGGTGTTTTGCAATCCATATGAAATCCCCTATTTGATTCTCTCAAAGCAACGTAATCGCATCACCGTTACGGTTGATTCGGATTGTTACGCAGCAGCAGCAGCAGCAATAGTCCCGGTCAACATCGGCAACAGAAACACAATACATACACAGGAGAAGTGGCCAACCATCCCGTGGCAGGACCCTCTTGCAAACGAGTCACGAGTTTCGGTGTCAGGCTTCGCCCCCCATACAGATTTGAAAACAAAAACCTCGTGGCGCTGTCCCTGGTGCTGAGTCTCCCGCCTCGTCATCGTCATCGACGCGGCCCGGTGACCATCTGAACAATCGCCGACGAGTTCGCCCATTCTCCACGTGCGATTATTCACGATGCATGGCGACGGCATTGCAGCTGACGGTTTAAATGCAGACCGCCTCGCCATCGCTCTCTCTTGCCACATCCCGCAGCCTCATCGCCACCACCACTACCATCCGGCTCTAGACCGTAGGTCCCCATTGCTCTCAAGCCTTTGGTTGCCACGCTAATGCCGAAACTCGGTTAACCTGTCCTCCCTCCTCCACCCTCCACACGTGTCCCATCCATCACAACCTCCTGCCATGGAATTGTTCGCATCTTCCACATGCGGTTATCGTCAACAAGCCAGACGCTTCTGGTTGCTCTGTTCAAGCCGAGATCCCCCGAGGCGAACGGTGACACAGACGTTGCTTCTCTACGTGGTTTACAACGGGTAATTCGTTACACGACCCAGTTCTATTTATACCACGGTGGTGCGGAGGTTTCATCTTTGTAAGTTGGCGAACAGTGACACAGAGGAATTGCAGATCGGCTGAACCGGGCCGATATAAAGAGGTATCGTAAATAGGGGAAGGTTTGCTCCTTTGAGAATGTGCAAACAGGAACAGACATAGTTTTTCCTACTCTTTGTTTTTTTCGGTAAAGTCACGTAGGTAAAACAAAATTAAAATAAAATAAAACAACTAAATCAAATCACGACGTTTCGGAGACAACACAAGCTTCCGTCTTCAGGTGGAACAGTCACAGCAAGATAGCTGCATCAAGATGCATCACGATGCAGCTATCTTGCTGTGACTGTTCCACCTGAAGACGGAAGCTTGTGTTGTCTCCGAAACGTCGTGATTTGATTTAGTTGTTTTATTTAAATTTGTTTTACCTACGTGACTTTACCGAAAAAACCAAACAGTATGAATCCTTGCAGTCACGAGAGCTTCAAATCTAAAATAGTTGTTCCACTCGCTCGGAATGAAATCAAGGTCAACGTTTTGGTGCCTTCGCCTGGCTCGTGCTTGTGGCTCGGGTGCTGTGTCAGCGAAATCGAAGCTGACGAGTGAAAGAAATAAGAGATGGATATTTGAATGACTATTGTCAATTATGAGCCAAAGTGGCTCCCCGTCACGCGAGTTTGTGTGGACTGATTTAAACGACCCCGGATGGATGCTGGGTTGAATAGATCGGGATTTCCATCTGCCCGATATTAATATGGATTGAGTGAACACCTGCACTGCTTGCGAATGTGTGATTGACAATCTGTGACATTAACATTTGCTCACAATCGTGTTTGATGCTAATGTGTGGACATTAGTGAAGATTAATGATGCGTGAGTGAGTCGTACAATGATTTGTGCAATTGAATGAGCGGCACTTTTATTAAAGCCGCCGGTCTTCGTCCAACGGATAGACTGGCCCATGGCATGGCAATGTAATATTCCCACCAGTGTTTCATGGAGACCCTTTGAACATTGACTTCAATGCACGTATGTGAATGACAATTCTGAATGTTATTGCCACACTGAGTATTACACTTTTTTCATAGCCCCAGATACGCGGCCCCCACAAAGGCAAATATCCCCCGTGTAGCCTTAACAGACTGTCGGAGCAAGTGCTGCTTGCGAGCGCTATAACACACATGCATAGGGCGCTCAAATATACAAAGATCGCTCTCGCAGAGGGAGGACGACTCGGAGAGGCAGCAGCAACAGCAGCAGCCACGTGCTCAGTGGCGCCATCAACAAATTCCCGCGCTCTGCGGTCCTCTCATTGCAGCAGCACGCCACTGAAACGACCCCTAGCAGACAATCTGCAGCCTCGGCTCCACCACTACATTGAAATCACAACTCGACAACAACAACAACAACTCATCTCGTTGCACTTACAACAACTCACTCAAAGCCACCACTTGCTTTTATCTTCATATTTTAAACAATCCTACATAGTATGTGTATATATATATTTCTCTCACTCTCTTGCTGTATAGAATTGTCTATTTTGGGGATTGACGCTGTGGGTGGCAGATTCGTGCCAGGAAATGCGCCACGTGTTGAAGCAAATATTACATCGACTGCACAGTAATGGAGCCATCGGCCAATTAATGAGCGTTGACGTGTGGGAGGACACCGGCGCATCCGAAGGCAGCCCACGCGTGCGAGGGGGAAACACTCTATCCCGTACAGACGGAGCGCGCGGAGTCCACGTGTCGGCCTCTCCCGGCGAGCCACGGAACGGGACCTGGACGCGCACGCTGAAGGGAGTTTCTCGGCATCCGCGTGTGACCCACGAACCCTCGCTGACGCTGCCTCCCTCCGCACGGTGAAGGATAGCAGGCAGCAGGGCTGGACGATTTGGGGGAAATATCTCATTGCGATTTTTCTGACAGATATTGCGATTACATTTTTTTTTAGTCGAGCTTCAGTTCAATATTCACGGTGTAATAGATTTAAAACACGTGATGGAACATTACCACGTGATGTCATCAAAATGTGAACTGCTCTATATGTTCTAATGCAAGGATGATAACTTAAAAGACGTGAATTGCTTCCAACATGTATTTATTAAAATGTTTGAATTGAAATAGAGCAATGAAACACAGGAACAATTGTTAAGTTAAATACATAAAGTTCCAATAATAAAAACAATTCCAATAAGAAAGTAATAAAAAAATCGCAGCCTTTGCGATTCACCAATCGCATTGTTTCAAATTGCAATTAATCGATTTGAAATCGATTAAATATTTCAGCCCTTGGCCAGGCCAGCCGCGTGCAACAGCAGCGCGTGCCCGGCTCCAGAATGCCTCGGCACGATGTCGCGGTCCCAGTATCGCTGCTGCTGCTGCTGTCCGTCTCGCTCCTCCTGTGGCACGTGGAGCGATCCCCCGGCCGTCGCTCCGTCTCCGCGGTGGTGGTCATCACCTCGGACGCGTCCGCCCCCCAATTGGCTGGCGATCCGTCTGCACAATCGCCGCTCCCACAGCCCTGCCCGTGTCTCTCAGGGCGCGTCTCTGGGCCCTGTAAGTTGGCACGGTGGGTAGGGGAGCAACCCACGGCACCTGGCTCCGCCCCGTGACCTTCCTGCCAGCGGGCGTTCGACACTTCACGTGGCCTTAAAGGTGCACTTAGCCTGGCACAAGCGCCGCGGCGACGTCACGGCCACCGAGTGGCCAATGGCGGTTGTTGTTGTTGTCTCCTGCTGCCCGTGTTCCACGTTCTGTCTCAGTTGGCGCTTCTCCAAGCTTCTCGGCGACCTTGTCAGATGCTGCTCCGCTGTCTTCTTTGTCAACTTCCCGTGTCGATGGTCCACGCGACAGCTGACCGTGTGGACTGATTGAAAAGTGTCACATGCAGCAGCGTGCTGTGTTCGTATACAAACCCACACAGATTTCACACTCAACTTACAATTTAGCAATCTTTGAAATAACGTAATCAACCTGACCTTGCGTTAATTGTGTTTTGACCGACCGTCTGTGTTGCGTTATATGGTTTCCAAATCTTGTTTGATCTAGTGTGCTCCCACGTTTCTCTCTCTCTGTATCCCTTGTTGTATCTGTTGTCTGTATATATATCTGCGGTTATGTGTCTCCTCTCTCTCTCTCGTAAATTTAGCTCTTCTGTACCCGATGATGATTGCTTGTGTTGCAATCGAAACGTCGTACACTATTATGTTATTTTATTATTTCTACGTGACTTTACCGAAAAAAAAACCAAGCATAATTCCTGCAGTCACGAAAGCTCCAAATTCAAGTTTCAAACCCAGAGCTGTCAACCCGTCACGGATTACAACGTATTTATTGTACAGGGAAATTGAGTTTTCAGGTCCGTTTCAATACGGGCACAATTTTTTTTTCATCTCTCTATTTGCTTGTGTTTCTCCCTCGTGATGAGACTTTATCGGATGAACGTTGAGATTTATAAGGGCACGGGGTGACCAGGGCCGGATTAAGGCACGGGGGGCTCCGACAGCTGGAGGGCCTCCAGAGATGAAGTGAAAAGTTTTTTCATTTGTGAATGCTGAATTTTTTGTTGTTGTTAGCCTTGTAAAAATATTACTGGGGGCCCTCACAGTACCCTGTAACCCAGGGGTCTAAACAATCTTAATCCGGCCCTGGGGGGTGACCAATCAGGCCTGAATTGGTCTGTAATAAGTTAGGCACTGATAAGGGGTTGACAGGTTTGCAAACCTCACACACACGAACACCCATACACACATTTACTCACATCTGCTCATCATATACGTACATACTGTACATAAATACAGTGATCCCAACATAGATTTTTCACACATTGTTGGGGCCAGGTACTGTTAGCGAGCACCTATTAAGGCCGGCACGGTACAAGCGCGGGCTGGCTGTTGCCAGCACCACGCCCGACCGCCTTTGTCTCCCCAGTGATTAATTTCTTTTGACACCGCACGGCCCGGGCATCGCTCGCCACTGATGTGCGCCGTGGCACTGCAACTCGAATCTGCGACGGGCATGTCGGAGCAGCCGCTAACCACTGCGACCACCGCTCGTACGCAGGCGGCGAGGGGGGACACGTGACGATGCTTTCGGCTTTTCCGTGGGAGCAATAATAAATAAAGAATCATTGCGACCACGGCGATGATTGCAGAGCCGTGGATGCGACGTCGAGGTGGCTGTCGTTAACGAGCGGCGCGTGAACTTATCCCGCTGCCATTGCCTGGTAAGCAAGGCCAGTCAGTGGGATGTGCTGATGCTGCAGATTATGCTGCTGCTGCAGCAGCTGATGATGATGATCATCAGCATCGCAGCAGCAAGGACGGCAGCAGCACATCGCAGCGGCACACAGCCGCGAGCAGCGAGCAAGGGAGAGGTCTGAGAGCGAGGGGAGCTGAGAGAGGAGGGAGAGACAGCGGGAGCCGAGGTCGAGAGGAGGAGGAGGAGGAGAGAGAGCGAGGCAGGGGGAGCGCGAACACTGTACAGGGAGAGCTGAGAGGGGGAGAGGAGCAGGCGAGAGGCGGAGAGAGGGAGAGCCGGGGAGAGAGCGGGCAGAGAGAGAGCGGGCAGCATGTCTGCGTCTGCAGGCGGAGATCTGTGCGCGCCCTCGTGGAAGAAGCAGACGGAGGACATCACGGCCACGTACGAGCTGCGCGAAGTGCTGGGCACGTGAGTACTCGCCTACACACTCACCTACCCACTCACATACCCACTCACCTACACACTCCATCACCCACTCACCTACCCACTCACCTACCCACTCCATCACCCACTCACCTACACACTCCTTCACCCACTCCATCACCCACTCACCTACACACTCCTTCACCCGCACACCTACCCACTCACCTACCCACTCACCTACTCACTCACCTACCCACTCCATCACCCACTCCATCACTCACTCACCTACACACTCCTTCACCCACTCCATCACCCACTCACCTACACACTCCTTCACCCGCACACCTACTCACTCACCTACCCACTCCATCACCCACTTCATCACCCACTCACCTACCCACTCACCTACCCACTCACCTACTCACTCACCTACCCACTCCATCACCCACTTCATCACCCACTCCATTACCCACTCCATCACACACTCCATCACACACTCCTTCACCCACTCCATCACCCACTCACCTACACACTCCTTCACCCGCACACCTACCCACTCACCTACCCACTCACCTACTCACTCACCTACCCACTCCATCACCCACTCCATCACTCACTCACCTACACACTCCTTCACCCACTCCATCACCCACTCACCTACACACTCCTTCACCCGCACACCTACTCACTCACCTACCCACTCCATCACCCACTTCATCACCCACTCACCTACCCACTCACCTACCCACTCACCTACTCACTCACCTACCCACTCCATCACCCACTCCATCCCCCACACGCCTACCCATCCAACCAGTCACACATTCACCCATTCACTCACTCACCCATAACTCCCTAACCCCGCACTAGCATATACACTCATCCATTAATTTCATCACCCATTCACTCACTGACCTGCCCACACTCAGCTACTCGCCTATCCACTCTCCCACTCACCCAATAACATAGCCATCCACTCAAGCACCCATTACTTGAGTCATCCATTCACACCCCCATTCTCGCAGAGCCACTCATCCATTCACTCGCCCACTCCGTGTTTCTTTATAACCCACACACTCAGCCACCAACCACTCGCTCACATATTCACTACACACAACCATTCACCATTTAAACCGACCATCACATACCAATCCACCCAGTAATTAATTTATTCACTCACCCATTCACCCACCCAATCGCTCACGCATCCACCCATTCAATCACCCACTTGCTCACTCACTCACCCATCCATTCAATCACCAAGTCACACTCATTTACTCACTAGCCCAATCACGTACACAATTACTCACCCGCTAATGATTTCATTCAACTAATGACTCACTCAGTGGTATAGCAATTGGTCTCTGTGTAATCACAATTACACGCAGACCTATTACCATTCACGATACGACTGCATCGCCAATAGATGTGTGCGATTACTGTGTCGAGTGAATGCGAGTGGATCTGTGTGATTCTGTATGGTGAATGGTAAGTGTACTGTATGTGTGTAGGGGTAGTGATGAGTGAGAGAACGTGCTGCTATTCTGTGGTGTGTGTCGTGTTGCATGCACAAGGCCTCGGTGTGTGTGTACTCTGCTGCTGTGATGCACGTGGTATAATGACATTGAGCAAGAGGTTATCAATTCACAATTGTGGCGATTTCATTGATAATTGTGGACAGCCAACAGCCAACACTTGATCACAAATAAACAACGCAGGCCGTTAGATCAGTACACATCACAGCATCGTGTGCGGGTGTGTTTCTCGGTAGAGTGTATTTGGTGTAAAACACCTGGAGCACATTGCCCTTCCATTGTACGAGTTTGTAACAGGGGTTGCATGACACCCCCTGCCGAATGACTGCATCTGATAAGCTGAATTCTATAAAAAAAATAGCGGGTCAAAGTTGACGCATCGTAAGCTGTGCATGAAATCTCATTGGACTTGGTGGAGCGGCTTGAGACGAGTTCTCCGGTTTTACAAACGAGATGTTAACTACCTCGCCTGGTTTGCAGGAGGTCGTGGGTTCGTTCCCGACCATGACGCCTGCTGCTGCTGTATATTTGGAGTTTGCGATGTCTCACCCCCCGTGGTCGCGTGGATTTTTTGTTTGATTAATCTCCTTCCGTTTGTCTCTCCACGTTGAGAAACGTGCGTTTAAGAGTATGTTGCTGCTATTAATTTCCACGTGATAAGCCACTTCGTTGAGCAATCATTTGTGGCGAGGTCGCTTCTAAAAAAAATAACTAGAAAGCTCAGTGGGCTGTACCTGGTAAAATGAAAATAGTAAAAATGATTGTTTATCTTCAGGTGAAACCGAAATCTTTGAAAATCAACGCCTGGGATACGACCAGTTGCTGACAAGAGTTCGCAGTTTTTGTTTCGGGTCGATCCGAAGAGCGGAAGCGACGTCACTAACAGCGGGGGGGGGGGGGGCACAGGACACGTGGTGGGGGGCGGGGGAGTCCATGGGGGGGGCAGGACACGTGGTGGGGGGCGGGGGAGTCCATGGGGGCCCAGGACACGTGGTGGGGGGCGGGGGAGTCTACGGTGGCCCAGGACACGTGGTGGGGGGCGGGGGAGTCCATTGGGGGGCAGGACACGTGGTGGGGGCGGGGGAGTCCATGGGGGCCCAGGACACGTGGTGGGGGGCGGGGGAGTCCATGGGGGCCCAGGACACGTGGTGGGGGGAGGGGGGGAGTCCATGGGGGCCCAGGACACGTGGTGGGGGTCGGGGGAGTCCATGGGGGCCCAGGACACGTGGTGGGGGGCGGGGGAGTCCATGGGGGCCCAGGACACGTGGTGGGGGGCGGGGGAGTCCATGGGGGCCCAGGACACGTGGTGGGGGGCGGGGGAGTCCATGGGGGCCCAGGACACGTGGTGGGGGGCGGGGGAGTCCATGGGGGCCCAGGACACGTGGTGGGGGGCGGGGGAGTCCATGGGGGCCCAGGACACGTGGTGGGGGGAGGGGGGGAGTCCATGGGGGCCCAGGACACGTGGTGGGGGTCGGGGGAGTCCATGGGGGCCCAGGACACGTGGTGGGGGGCGGGGGAGTCCATGGGGGCCCAGGACACGTGGTGGGGGGCGGGGGAGTCCATGGGGGCCCAGGACACGTGGTGGGGGGCGGGGGAGTCCATGGGGGCCCAGGACACGTGGTGGGGGGGCGGGGGAGTCCATGGGGGCCCAGGACACGTGGTGGGGGGCAGGGGAGTCCATGGGGGCCCAGGACACGTGGTGGGGGGCGGGGGAGTCCATGGGGGCCCAGGACACGTGGTGGGGGGCAGGGGAGTCCATGGAGGCCCAGGACACGTGGTGGGGGGCGGGGGAGTCCATGGGGGCCCAGGACACGTGGTGGGGGGCGGGGGAGTCCATGGGGGCCCAGGACACGTGGTGGGGGGCGGGGGAGTCCATGGGGGCCCAGGACACGTGGTGGGGGGCGGGGGAGTTCATGGGGGCCCAGGACACGTGGTGGGGGGCGAGGGAGTCCATGGGGGCCCAGGACACGTGGTGGGGGGCAGGGAAGTCAATGGGGGCCCAGGGCGCTCGGCCGTGGCCCCGCCAGGTGGACGATGACGCCACCTGTTGAACGGTGGAAGTGGAGAGCGCTTTAACAAAAACAATCTATATATATACAAAGCTATGCAAAACAGACGTTTCAGAAGAAGAAGAAAACAAAAATAGAGTCAAAATGAGTCCGTAAACGTGAAGTGCGATGACACAACACTCGCTCTCCACTTGCGTCGGATTTCTATAGCGGCGGAGCGAGGAACACGTGCTTCGTGCTGACATGGATTTAGTTTTGACAAATACACGGAAATAACGCGACTTATATAACAAAACCCATAACATAGGGTTCACTTCCCACATGAGTGTTGCTTGAAAACATCAATGTGGGTAACGATAACGCCACACAAACGCCGCATTGGCAGCTCATGTCCGACATCTCGAAGCAATCTGAAACGACCGCTGAGCGGGGCCGCTCCTCGGAACGCGGGCTCCTGCGACGGGTCACTCTGTCATAGGTCACTCTGTGACTGTGATAGGTCACTCTGTGACTGTGACAGGTCACTCTGTGACTGTGACAGGTCACTCTGTGATAGGTCACTCTGTGACTGTGATAGGTCACTCTGTGACTGTGATAGGTCACTCTGTGATAGGTCACTCTGTGACTGTGATAGGTCACTCTGTGATAGGTTACTCTGTGATAGGTCACTCTGTGACTGTGACAGGTCACTCTGTGATAGGCCACTCTGTGACTGTGACAGGTCACTCTGTGATAGGTCACTCTGTGACTGTGACAGGTCTCTCTGTGACAGGTCACTCTGTGACTGTGACAGGTCACTCTGTGACTGTGACAGGTCACTCTGTGATAGGTCACTCTGTGACTGTGACAGGTCACTCTGTGACTGTGACAGGTCACTTTGTGATAGGTCACTCTGTGACTGTGACAGGTCACTCTGTGACAGGTCACTCTGTGACTGTGACAGGTCACTCTGTGACAGGTCACTCTGTGACAGGTCACTCTGTGATAGGTCACTCTGTGACTGTGACAGGTCACTCTGTGATAGGTCACTCTGTGATAGGTCACTCTGTGACTGTGACAGGTCACTCTGTGATAGGTCACTCTGTGACTGTGATAGGTCACTCTGTGATAGGTCACTCTGTGACTGTGATAGGTCACTCTGTGATAGGTTACTCTGTGATAGGTCACTCTGTGACTGTGACAGGTCACTCTGTGATAGGCCACTCTGTGACTGTGACAGGTCACTCTGTGATAGGTCACTCTGTGACTGTGACAGGTCTCTCTGTGACAGGTCACTCTGTGACTGTGATAGGTCACTCTGTGATAGGTCACTCTGTGACTGTGATAGGTCACTCTGTGATAGGTCACTCTGTGACTGTGATAGGTCACTCTGTGATAGGTTACTCTGTGATAGGTCACTCTGTGACTGTGACAGGTCACTCTGTGATAGGTCACTCTGTGACTGTGACAGGTCACTCTGTGATAGGTCACTCTGTGACTGTGACAGGTCTCTCTGTGACAGGTCACTCTGTGACTGTGATAGGTCACTCTGTGATAGGTCACTCTGTGACTGTGATAGGTCACTCTGTGACTGTGACAGGTCACTCTGTGACAGGTCACTCTGTGACTGTGACAGGTCACTCTGTGACAGGTCACTCTGTGACTGTGACAGGTCACTCTGTGACAGGTCACTCTGTGACTGTGACAAGTCACTCTGTGATAGGTCACTCTGTGACAGGTCACTCTGTGATAGGTCACTCTGTGACAGGTCACTCTGTGACTGTGATAGGTCACTCTGTGATAGGTCACTCTGTGACAGGTCACTCTGTGACTGTGATAGGTCACTCTGTGTACAGGTCATTCTGTGACAGGTCACTCTGTGACAGGTCACTCTGTGACCGTGACAGGTCACTCTGTGATAGGTCACTCTGTGACAGGTCATTCTGTGACAGGTCACTCTGTGACTGTGACAGGTCACTCTGTGACAGGTCACTCTGTGACTGTGACAGGTCACTCTGTGACTGTGATAGGTCACTCTGTGACAGGTCACTCTGTGACTGTGATAGGTCACTCTGTGACAGGTCACTCTGTGACCGTGACAGGTCACTCTGTGACAGGTCACTCTGTGACTGTGACAGGTCACTCTGTGACTGTGACAGGTCACTCTGTGACAGGTCACTCTGTGACTCTGACAGGTCACTCTGTGACAGGTCACTCTGTCACTGTAACAGGTCACTCTGTGACTGTGATAGGTCACTCTGTGACAGGTCACTCTGTGACTGTGACAGGTCACTCTGTGACAGGTCACTCTGTGACTGTGACAGGTCACTCTGTGACTGTGATAGGTCACTCTGTGACAGGTCACTCTGTGACTGTGATAGGTCACTCTGTGACAGGTCACTCTGTGACCGTGACAGGTCACTCTGTGACTGTGACAGGTCACTCTGTGACAGGTCACTCTGTGACCGTGACAGGTCACTCTGTGACAGGTCACTCTGTGACCGTGACAGGTCACTCTGGGCCTGTGACAGGTCACTGTGTGACTGTGACAGGTCACTCTGTAACCGTGACAGGTCACTCTGTGACAGGTCACTCTGTGACTGTGACAGTTCACTCTGTGACAGGTCACTTTGTGACAGGTCACTCTGTGACTGTGACAGGTCACTCTGTGATAGGTCACTCTGTAATAGGTCACTTTGTGACGGTGACAGGTCACTCTGGGCAGGTCGTTCAATATAAACGCGCTCTGGAGCATACTGCACATTGATCTCGTACCACGTGACCTCACGATTGTTAGCACAAATGCAATTCACATTGGTGCTGTAGGTATGTAAATGATCCAAAACAAGGTTTGAAATTAAATTTTGATTTAAAGCTTTCATGACTGCAGGGATTCATATTCTTGGTTCTTTCGGTAAAGTCACGTAGAAGGGAAATAAAAAAAAAAATTACAAAATTAAACACGACGTTTCGATTGCAACACAAGCAATCATCATCAGGTGTGAAAACCACAGCAAGAACATTTTCTTGCTGTGGTTTTTTCTTGCTGTGGTTTTTTCTTGCTGTGGTTATTTCTTGCCGCGGTTTTCACCCCTGATGATGATTGCTTGTGTTGCAATCGAAACGTCGTGAGAATTTGATTGTTTTATTTGTATTATTTTATTATTTCCTTTCTACGTGACTTTACTGAAAGAACCAAGAATAAGGTTTGAAATTATCCATTTATAATCCACAATTCTAGATTTGAAAATCTAAAATGTGTACGATTTGCCACCGGCGATGTGCTGGATCGTTGTGATGCGTAGCCCCGATTCGTTTTAAGAAACGTTGATTAGCGTTTAGTCGTCACGTGATTATTTTGTACTGTTTTTGGGTGTTTATGTCCTAGTATGGTCTTGTTTACTCCATTAGCCACTTCCGGTTTTTGGCTCAAATCCAAAATGAAAAAAAAAGTATTTGACATAGATTATTCTGAAAACAGCCTCGGGATCCATCGACTGTGGTCCTGAGAACTCCCCTCCGAGGTCGCTCCACCGATTTGGAGTTCATTTTAAAGCTCACGACCATTCCGTTTGTGCACAGGAAGTCGACGTTGCTCAGTTGAAACTGTTGTCCATCATTTTCTACGATGACGATGATGCCAACGGCAATATTGCGATGACGATGATGGTGGTCGTCATCTGAATGCGGTTGTCGCTGCATTAATAATCCTGAAATGTCTTGTTTTCACAGGAAACCTTGAATGAGACTCCAGTTTCTCCTTCAGGAGATTCCTGCATTGGGCTATATAGCCGACATTAATAATCCTGTAATGTCTTGTTTACCCAGGAAACCTTGAATGAGACTCCAGTTTCTCCTTCAGGAGATTCCTGCAATGGGCTATATAGCCGACATCATGAGTCTTTGCCAACTTCGATTTCTTCCGTATGGCTGCTGATGTAGATGGAGAGCAACAACTTGAATTTCACCTTTCAGGTGGTCGAGCTAGATGACCGTGTCGCAGAAACGATCAAGGATTAACAATATTAACGTGTTTAGGCAAACAGATAGTTCACCGCCGGACTATCTAACTCATTTGAAGGCCAATATAGACAAATTATTATCGAAGCTTAACCCCCCCCCCCCCCTCACCGTTTCCTATGCATACATTGTCAGTAGACTCCCCATACGCAAGCGAACGCATTTGCGTTAACCCCCCCTCCCCCCTCCATGCGTACGTACTGAATGGATGGCCCGTAACCCGCGTATGAGGTCGTGGCACTCATTACGCACAAAGTGCTGTCCCACAAATGAACCACAACACCTCGCTGATCTCGTCAAGGAACATCAACCACCGTCACGGGAACTCCGCTGGTCATCCTCACAGCGGCTTTTGGTTAGCCGTCGAACAAACACGGTCACTGCATCGCGCGCTTTCGGATGCGCTCCTGCGGCCGTCTGGAACGCTCTTCCTTCCGATATTGGTAAGCCACTGGAGCTATGCACTTTAAATAATCTAGATTGAAAACTCATTTCTTTAAAACTGCTTTTTGTGCTTAGTTTGTTGTCCTTCCCTCGCACCTCCGATCAGCACGGTTGGCTACGCACGGTACGAAAGAAGTTCAACACACACACATACAGCGGCACTCGGGAGCAGGTCTAAAGATTTTGCGAAGCGTTTCTTGAGATCTTGGGGAAAGGGGGAGAGCCCCTCAACACCAAATACGTGGGGCCAGGAGGTGGGGTGCTGACCCAGCAACAACCACGGTGCCTCGAGGTTTGATGGAAATAGCTTCTCTGTGTGAGAGTTATCAACAAACGAAACATTGACATGCCACTGGTGAAGCTTTTCCGTTCGCTCCAGACACAACGTTCCTTTCAGCCCTTTATGTTCTCCTGTGCAGACTTCTCCAGGTCATCACCACCACCACCATCATCATCGAAACGTGGATGCTCATGCAGCGTTAGAAACTGGCGACAATCACCGCCTGCCAGGTCTGGTGAAACGGCAGGGCACGGAAGCTCCCCTGAGTGGCAGCCCTTGGCGGCCTCCGAATGGGCGACTCCTGCGGCGTGCGCTTGGTCCACTGTCACGCAGAGCCAAGGGGGAGAGCTCTCATCTTCCCACAGCAACGTTCCCTTTGAACTCCGAAGGCAGCAGGCAGAGCCGAGTCTGCACGGGTGTTGTTGACCTGTGGTCCGTCTCCTCGCGAGGCACGAGGTCTACACGCGTGCCGTACCCCCGGGATCACCCCCGAACGGCGGTGCCACGCACGCGGCCTTTGCATGCTGAGCGCCGTGACGCGGGCGCTTGGGGACGTTGCGCGCGAACCACCGCGCCGCGGCACTCCGCGCGGGCCTCGTCGCGGTCGTGTCCGCTGCGGGCCCGGGCCGGCCTAAACCCCCTCCCCCCCTCCGCACGGGCGGCCCGCCACGGCGGTAGGAGCCCCGCAGGCCACACCGTGGTCGCCGTCCCCACGCTCGCCACGTGGCGCCGTCGTGGACCGCCTTCGTGTCGTCGCTGTTCAGCGTCGCAATTTCCGCGACGGCACAACGCTTGAATTTCGGCGCGGTGGGGGCCCTGCTCGCGCGGCCCATAGTTCTGCACCGTGGAAGCGGCGATGGTCGGTGGATCGCACAGATGTCGCGAAACTCGCCAGGAGGAGGCGGTACAGCAAGGTGTGGAATAATGTCATCTGTCCCTTCTGTACGGGATAGAGCGTTGCGCCCTTGCACGTGAGTTTTCTCCGGGTGCTCCGGTTTCCTCCCACATGTATAAATTATGCAATGGTTGGCCGAAGCATCTTAATATATTAGAGCAATGTGGAGCTTGGGCAATTGTCAGTGGCGGGCCCTCCTTCTGCCCGAGTTTGATTTTGTGTGAACGACACGAGATGAAACAAAAATATTTATACGTTGTTATTATAAATCAGGAACACAGGAAGAATATTGTGTCCTGCCTGAGTATACTTGTCAAGGGCTATAATTAAATGCAAGGTCAATGGCATCTCGTATTTTCTGTTATATTCAGCTCAGAACTCGTTGTACCATGCTCGTGTCGTCTGTGGCGGAGGAGTGAAGAGCGATCCAGAGCCTGAGACCGGATAAAGCGCTGGGCCGGGATCTCTCAAGCAAATAGCGGTCCAAATGGATCTGCGTGCGTACGTAGTTTTGTGAGAGTATGTGAGAGTATATGCACATGTGGGGAGCGGTGACGCAGTAGTTAGCGCACTGCACGATGAACCCGGCGACCCGAGTTCGATTTTTCCGCCCACGTCCAACATCGGTGACGATTATCTGAACCAGTCCTGGGACTCGCCTAGGTCGACTCAGCCTTACATGAGAACCTGGTGGGTTGTGTAAACATCGCTACTGGGAAGACAGAGGTGACCCAACGTGGTTTTGGCCACCCATCCCCTCGTGTGTCGTGCCGGCCTTCATAGGTACTCGCTGACAGCACTTGCTCCAACAGTCTGTTCAGCCTATTTGGGGGATCTTTGCCTTTATGTCTTTGGATATGTGAATTGGCACAGTAGGAAGCACAGGCGGTTCAATTGACAGTCATCTCGGTCAATGCACAGCACCTGGGTCTCTTCAATGACCTCCTGCCAGCAAGAATAAAATACTTCCCATGGCCTCCTGCCAGCAGAAATCCTTCCATGTTTCACGTGCCGGCGTCGAGGTGCACCTAGCCTGACACAAGCGCCGTGGTGACATCATCATCGTCATCAACATTTAATGGCTCATGGCTGTATGTGTCGGTTATCGGTGCTCGCTGACAGCACTTGCCCCGACGGTCAGTTAAAGGCTACGCGGGGGATCTCTGTCCGACGCTCGCTTCCCTCGTCCGCCCAGCACGGCGCACTCCACACCCGTTCGCGATTCCTCGCGCCGCGGAATTCCCACCGACGTTCACGGCGGCCGAGCGAGAGAGATCGCCGGGAGAAACCTCGCGTCAGTCCGTGCAGCTCCGGCGCTTGGCACGGTACCGGTGTCTCCCTCGTCATCGGCATGGCTCGAGATTTCAATGATTGGACGGAGAGTTTCATGATTGCGTCGCTTCGCCGTTGCAGCATCGCGGATTAGACAGTTGCTGTTGCCGCTTGCTTCGGCCGTCCCAGATTCGTTACGTAACTTGGTGCCTGCATTGCCGCTGTCGAAATCAGTGTTTTGCCCTGCGTGCAGATTACTGCCCCGTGATCCTGCGCATGAACACACGTGCACAGAACACACAACAACAACAACGGCCATTCGCCACTAAGTGGCGGTGACGTCACCACGACGCTTGTGCCAGGCTGTGTGCACCTTGAGACCACGTGAAGTGTCGAATGCCCGCTGGCAGGAGGTCACGGGGCAGAGCCAGCAGGTGCCACGGGTCGACTGACTGAGATGACTGGCTGATGCACCACCTGTGCCCCATACTGTGCCAACCTTCTGTGATTTAGCCACCTGGCGCTCCGCTCGTTGTTGTGAGCGTTGCTCCTCCGCCCTCTGTTGTTGTTGGAGGACGACTGCCTCCAACTGCCCAGCAGCATCCTTCACGAGCCTCCTCCACAGAGGCCGATCTTGACACCGCTGGTACTAGTCATCGGCAAGTCCACTCAGCTCCACGTCCTCCTGTACCACATCACTCCATCTCTTCTCTAGCCCATGCCGCGTCCGTTTAGCCCCCTTGATCTGGCCGAACAAAAGCTGTTTAGGCATGCGGTGACTTTGCATGTGGGCTACATGGCCCAGCCAACGCAGCCTTGCCTGCCGGAGGAGCTCACCGATGGGACTTTGTCCAGATCTTTCAAGGATTTTTGAGCTCCTCACACAATCCAGCCTGGTTAAACCCAGGATGGATCTTAGGCAGGCCAGCCTACATGTGTCTAACCAGCGAAGATGTTCCATTAGTGGTATCCACGTTTCGCAAGCATAGAGAAGGGAGGGAATGACTGTGGCCGAGAA